TTCAACCGATTTCAACAAAACTTCACTTTTTTTGGCAGGTAGTATTTCTTATTGTCTTGCACACTTTTTTCTTTATTTTTACATTCAGAATGCTTTAAAAATTCCATTTACAAGACAATTATTTATAATAAAATTCTATTCAATCGATAGACTCATAACGATTGAAAACAATGTATTTGTTTGAGTTTGGGTTTGACTAATTCGTAAAAAAAACAAAAAACAAAAAATAAAACAAAACAAAACAAAAAAACTAATTAAGACATGCGTGTCCGTCAGCCTTAAACAATAATCTTAGTCAATTTTATTTTTCAGTCTTTATGATGGTCGATAATTGATCTATCTCTTACTGTTACATCCCCGGGCAACGCCGAGCTCTACTGCTAGTAACTAAATAAAGTGCACAATACAATAAGTAGAGCAAACCTAGTTAAACCTAGAGAGTCAGACAAACCTACCAAGGTTTCACCTTAGTGGATCGTCAGGGAAAGCTGGCTAAAAAGGCAACAAAAGAACGGAATACTTATAGTCAATAAACAAAAAACCATAACCACGTGATCAAATAAAAACAAACTCTATATATATATATATATGTGTGTGTGTGTGTGTGTGTGTGTGTGTGTGTGTATACAAATTAATTTTTGGATGAACCTAAATATATAGTGAACTATTTTAAATGCATAATCCGTCCTAATAATTCGTTATTTAATCATCTGCATACATACATAGTGAAAGTCAAGTCGTGACCGAGCAACCCCCCCCCCCGGACTCATAACTCCCAAACGAACATTTCAGGAATGATTTACATATCGTTGAGGACGTCTTAAATGGCTCAGAAGAACCGCAAATCCAATCCCATGCATGATTTTCTTTTTAAGTTGATAGAACGTAGCGCAACGTAAAACTCACTTCACGACACAATTTTCTATATTGCCGGTGGCAAACCAGACACCGTAAGGTTTCCTATACTAGTTACCGTTTTGGTACCTGGACGTGGTGTAATGGTTAGCAAACTGGTCTCGCTAGATTACTTACGACTGAGTAATAAGTTCAGCCCTCACTGGGTGGCCCACACTTTCGGCCACGTGACACATCTAAGCTACGCTTGGAAAATCATTTGGGCACTTCGACGTAGTGTAATGGTTAGCAATCTAGTCTCGTGTTACAACTGAGTAGTGAGTTCAATCCTCGCTGGGTGCTCCATACTTTCGGCCTTGTGCCACTTCTAAGCTGTGCTTAGAAAATCATTTCTGGAGTTCTTCGGCGTGGTGTAATGGTTAGCAAGCTTGTCTCGCTAGATCAGTTACGACTGAAAAGTGAGTTCAATCCTCGCTGGGTGCTCCATACTTTCGGCCTTGTGCCACTTCTAAGCTGTGCTTAGAAAATCATTTCTGGGGTTCTTCGGCGTGGTGTAATGGTTAGCAAGCTTGTTTCGCTAGATCAGTTACGACTGAAAAGTGAGTTCGATCCTCACTGGGTGCTCCATGCTTTCGGCGTTGTGCCACATCTATGCTACGCTTAGAAAATAAAGGCACCTCGAGGCGGTGTAATGGTTAGCAAGCTCGTCTCGCTAGAACAATTACGACTGAGTAGTGAGTTCGATCCTCACAGGGTGCCCCATACTTTCGGCCTCGTGCCACATCCGAGCTACACTTGGAAAATTGCTATACTTGTTACCGTCTCCTAGGGCGATGTCCCAACAAGAAGCAGGATTCCTTCACTCCCAAGGGCTTCTTAAAATAGAAGTCAGGGTACGTCACACCTAGTGATTTAACCACGCGCCTGGAAACCAACATAAGTATTTGATTTTTGTGGAATATTATTATATACATAGATGTTGGCCGTTGGTTCCTACAATAAACTAATCCATCTTTTCACATGTCTTACTTTATTCGCAGAATGCTGGTGTGGGAGCGGATTTAGACGCCGGCTATCTGCTCATGCGTCAGGTTGTAAATGTTACCAGTAGCAGGCCCAAGACTGATCCCCCCTCTCTCTATCTCTCTGTCTCTCTGTCTCTCTCACACACACACACGTATATATCCGCGATAAAAATGTATAAACACTTCAGAAAAGGAAAAACTTGTATACATATTGTAATATTAAATTTACTCAGATATCGCAAGATTAATACAAGTTAACTTTGGAATTTATAACTTCAAGATAAGCTAAAAATGGTGGCCTTTAGCTTCCAGAGATTTATTAGTACACTGAAATACTGCTTGGGTAACATTGGTCAAAGTGTCTAATGGGATTGCTGCACATCTTCACAGACAAACATACACACACAGAGAAACACACACACACACACACACACATATATATATATATATGTATATATATATATGTATAGTCCAGCAAAAATGTATACAGACTTCAGGAAAGGAAAAACTTGTATAGATATTGTAATACAAATTTTATTCTGACTTCACGAGATTAATACACGTAACCTTTTTTGAGCAACTGCCATGGGGGTAATGCCATCTGTCGAGAAAATATCGTACTACAGTAAACAGTGTTATCGCAATTTGATTAAACTAGGAAAGACCAATTTTTCCATTCCTGAAATGTGTATACATTTTGGGGGCAGACTCTCTGTCTCTGTCTCTGTCTCTCTCACTCTCACTCTCTGTCTCTGTCTGTCTGTCTCTCTCTCTCTCTCTCTCTCTCTCTATATATATATATATATATATATATATATATATATATATATATATAATGCATATTTGGCCCTTTGCTACTCAACAGTAGAATATGCCCCACCAGCGTGGAGCAGATCCTCACGCTCAAAGAAAAGAAAGGAAAATGGTGGAAAAAAAAAAGAAGGAAATATCAAAGAAAGACGGAAAGAAATAACAAAGAAAGAAAGAAAGAAAGAAAGAAAGAAAGAAAGAAAGAAAGACCCTACCTTAAACGCCTCTTGCAGATCGATCATGAGGTGTCTGAAGGCAACCAAAGTAAATGACCTCTAAATGCTTAGTGGCATTAACCCACTTACATAAGAAGGACAATCCACTTCCAACTTTGGGCTTCATATTCTCTCAAGGCACGGGGCTTCCTCGAGGGACATCCGTTCATCGTGACTGGCGGTAGTCAGGGGTCTGATCGGCGATGATAGATTTTGAGCATCTCCTGGGAGCATTACGAATTTTCTTTAAAAACATGCATTGCTGGTAATGATAAGGTAGGATGTGAGTTTGAGGCCCAGTATTCTCTCGAGGTACAGGGCTTTTTCGTGTGGACATCCGTTCATCGTGACTGGCGGTAGTCAGAGGTCTGATCGGCGATGATAGATTTTGAGCATCTCATGGGAACATTACGAATTTTCTTTAAAAATATGCATTGCTAGTAATTTTTTTTTTTACTATGAAAATGCATTACTTTTATTTTTATACTTTCACAATATTTGATCCCAGTTCGAGAGTTAACTATTTATCCATAGCTGGGGCCCTAACAATTGCTACCACGCCGGTTCAGGTTGGACATGGGAACAACAGACAGTAACAGGTGGTCCCTTATTCCTCAAAACCTCCTATCTCCTGATCAGAGACCTTGCTGCCTGATGTTGTTTATCGTCATACCCAGGACGAGATTTGTATGTTAAAATACTTTTACATTCGGAAGATGGCGCTAAATTTGTCTACTGAAAGGAAGTAAATCGACACTTAAGGAACATTTCGAAACTTTATGAAGTAGTAAACACAAATCAGTTAACCATTTTCCATTGAAGGTGACTTAGCGCAGGATAATCAACAAGGAGAATCTTCAGGAGAAAGCAAAACTAATTTGGCCAACCAAACTTTTTTCATTGTGGGGGCTTTTGGCGCTGGGCAATCATCAAGAGGTGATTTATTGGTTGATTCATTCATTGAAACATCGCATTCACCCATGTCTGTCAGTCATTCACCATCGTCCAGATTTTGTTCCCTGTAAAATTTGGCATTCCCTGACGCTAGCAAAACGTCATATCCCTCATGACAGTCAACCGTTGACTATAGTCCATCTTGTTACCCTTGTTTTTTCCCCAGCATTATTATCTGCTTAGACATTTTTGTCTCACTGCTTTGTTGCAAAATTACCATTTTTTTCTTTCTTTTTCCTTTCCCTGATATTTCTTTCTTTTTCTTTCTTCAAATATTTTCTTTCATTTTTCTTTCTTTCTTTCTTTCTTTCTTTCTTTCTTTCTTTCTTTCTTATTTACTTTATTCTTCCTTCCAAGATTATTCTTTCTATCTTTCTTTAATATTTCTGTCTTTATTCCTTCGAAGAATACCATTTTTTCTTTCTTTTTCCTTTCACTGATATTTCTTTCTTTTTCTTTCTTCCAATATTTTTCTTTCTTTCTTTCTTTCTTTCTTTGATATTTCCTTATTTCTTTCTTCCTGTGTTTTTCTTTCTTTCTTACAAAAGTTTTCTTTCTTTCTTTCTTTCTTTCTTTCTTTCTTTCTTTCTTTCTTTCTTTCTTTCTTTCTTTCCATCGATGATATTTCCTTTTTCTTTCTTACGAGATTTTTCTTTCTTTCTTTCTTTCTTTCTTTCTTTCTTTCTTTCTTTCTTTCTTTCTTTCGTTGATATTTCCTTTTTCTTTCTTTCTTTCTTTCTTTCTTTCTTTCTTTCTTTCTTTTCCTTCTCTTTTTGTTTGTTTCGTTTATCTTTGTTTTTTTTTTCTGCTTCGTATTTGCTTTTTTATTTCTTATCATGAAGACCCTTCCTTCCTTCCTTCCTTCCTTCCTTCCTTCCTTCCTTCCTTCCTTCCTTCCTTCCTTCCTTCCACTATCTCAATTTCTTAATTATATTCTATTCTTCATCCCTTCTTGTTTTCCATTCACCCAGGCCTGCCCAGTGCACCTAAAATCTCAGCCTTACCCATTCCTACATCCATTCTTTTCTCCACCCTCCAGATCACAATCATCCGTCGAAAGGCTTGGCCGGAATTTCAAAAATCCCAAACTCTATTCTTTGCACCAACAGACTTCGTTCCGTATGCACTAACAGCATTCCATTCAGCTGGTGCCAATAATGGTTCGGCCGACAAGTGACAGCGTGGGCAAAAACCGAGGTGAAAGAGTTGGAAGACTGCGAAGGGAGAGAAATATAGAAAGAAATATAATGAACAGAGATTGATAAATAAAGAGAAAGATACAAACATAGATAGATAGATAGATAGATAGATAGATAGATAACGGCAAAGGTAAAAGGATCGGAAAAATATTGAGGTAAAAGAAAAGACAACAAAAACAAAAACAAATACAACAAATGCAAGGAAGAGAAAAATAACAGAAAAAGAACTAAGATTAATAAATATGAATAGATTGTGTTATTGAGATATGAACAGAATGAAATAGATAGATAGATAGATATAACAGAATGAGATAGATAGATAGATAGATAGATAGATAGGTACGAACAGATTGAGATAGATATAAACATATTGAAATCGGAAGATATAAACAGAGAGCTATCAATAGATTGAGATATGATATGAACACATTGAGATAGAGAGATATAAACAGATAGATAGATAGATAGGTAGGTCGATAGATAGATAAATAGCTATGAACAGATTGAAATAGATAGATATGAACAGGTTGAAATAGATAGATAGATAGATAGATAGATAGATAGATAGATATAAACAGATTAAAATAGAAAATAGGAACAGAGGGCTATCAATAGATTAAGATAGATATGACCACAATGAGATAGATATGAAGAGACAGATAGATAAATAGATAGATAGATAGATATGAATAGATTGAAATAGATAGATAGATAAATATGAACAGATTAAAATAGATAGATAAGGCAGACAGACAGACGGACAGACAGATAGACAGATAATAGATAGATAGATAGATGTACATGATATCTATCTACGTAATAGGTAAATAGATATCATGTACAGATTATGATATATATATATATATATATATATATATATATATATATATATATATATATATATATAGAGAGAGAGAGAGAGAGATAGATAGATAGATAGATAGATAGATAGATAGATAGATAGGGTTAAACGTAGATGTGAAAAAAAGTTGGAAAATTGCGGTGATAAAAAGTTAAGAAACAAACAAATAAAGCAAAAGATAGAAAGAAAGACCGAAAGAAGGAAAACGAGAAAGAAAGAAAAAGAAATGTCTGAAATAGATAGATAGATAGATAGATAGATAGATAGATAGATAGATAGATAATGATGAGACTGAGATAGATAATGAAGAGGAGGAGATAGATAGATAGATAGATAGATAGATAGATAATGATGAGACTGAGATAGATAATGAAGAGGAGGAGATAGATAGATAGATAGATAGATAATGATGAGACTGAGATAGATAATGAAGATGAGGAGATAGATAGATAGATAGATAGATAGATAAATAGATAGATAATGATGAGACTGAGATAGATAATGAAGAGGAGGAGATAGATAGATAGATAGATAGATAGATAGATAGATAATGATGAGACTGAGATAGATAATGAAGAGGAGGAGATAGATAGATAGATAGATAGATAGATAGATAGATAGATGCAAATGCAGAGCTGAAAGAATCTGTAAACTGCGGTGATTAAAAAAAAGAGGATGAGAAACAAATAACGTAAAAGAAAGAAAGAAAAAAAGAAAGAAAGAAAAAAAGAAAGAAAGAAAAAAAAGAAAGAAAGAAAAAAAAGAAAGAAAGTGAAAAAGTTTCGCATAACCGCAATGGATTATGAGGAAATAGAAAGAAAAAGAAAGGAAATTATTAAAAATCGTAAAAGAAGGAAAGGTAGAAAGAAATATCATCATAAGAAAAGGTAAAGGAGGAAAAAGAGAAAAGAAAGAAAGAACGGAAGGAAAGAAACAAAGAAAGAATAAAAAAAATAAAACAAAGCAAATACAAAAAGAAGCAGAGTAGTAACGATCGAAAAGATAGTGAGGACAAAGACGATAACACTGGTGTCAGGTCGAACTCCTAAACAAAGTCGTAAAGGAAAGCAAGGAAAAAAATACGATTAACATCACGATGACAGAAACCGTGGTCGTCAACAAAAGAGACAGTCCAGGTTGTGAGTTACGTATCGGGGACGTCAATATCAGGTGCAGAAGTTTAACTATCTGGAACAGTGTTTCTCGAACATGTTTACCGTTGTGGAACCCTTGAAATAGTTTGCATGTCTCAGGAAAATCTCTTTTATATTTTTATCATAGTTCACGTGGTAAACATAATATATAGACACTGTGCATGCGTCCTGTAATCGAGCGAGTCACTCAATGATACACGAATCCTCCACGTACAGGAGTTTCTGCCCACTAACCAGTGAATGCAGTTTCACACTGACGCCATACTGACATCGTTAAATACATTCCCTATTATTATTATTATTATTATTATTATTATTCTTTTATAAAAGAGGTTGAAGTCATTATTATAATAACCAAAAATTTTCGAAGAATATGCCGTACGCGTATCATGAAATTACTAATATAAAATGAAACAACAATAACGCAAAAATCCATTAGCTTATTTATCACTATCTCTCGCGGAACACCTAGCGGCCTAGGAGCCCCAGGAGTGCGGGGAACACTGGTGGAGAAAAACTGATTTCTGGATGGTGTTTTAACAGACGCCTTTGGAATGGCGACAGACGGCTTTCAGAAACTAAGCGAAGAATCCCTCAGAAACAAAAGAATGAATGCTGTCTCATATCCACGATGAATTCTCCTCCCGTGGCAGTGAATGCTGGACTCTTTATTCCCAAGGCGAATAGTGCTTGTTAACTCACAGAGCAAGAAGAGATCTGAATCAAGAGAGACGTGATTCTACAGAAGGATGTTGAGAATACCATGGACAGAATATGTGAACGACAAGAAAGTTTTAAACAAAATCACGGTTTCTCGCGGAACCCCAAGCAACCTCTTACGAAACCCTAGCACTTTACAGCACCTGATATTTCCATCGTTTGGGAAACACTGATCTAAACGCTAGCATAACTAAATACTTAAATCAGTGAAACATTTATAACTCAGGAGTAATTGGTCAGACTCCAGCTCAGAAGGTTTGGTGTTCGTATGTGTGCATGCGTCTTGTAACTGAGAGTGTCACATAATGATACATGAATCCTCCACGTACAGGAGGTTCTGCTCACTAACCAGTGAATGCGGTTTCACACTGACGCCATACAGACATCGTTAAATACATTCCCTATCATAATAATAATTTTAAATAATGTAAAAGGGCGAAGCCTTTATTATAATAACGAAAATTTTTTCCAACTATATGCCGTACGTATATAGTGAAATTATGATTATAAAATTAAACAAAACTTACTCAAAAATCCATTAGTCTATTTATCATTGTTTCTCGCGGAAACCATAGCTGAAGCCTAAGTTTCCGGGAACACACCGGATGGGAAGCACTGGTCTCAACTGTCAGCTTTAAACAACCGCTTATTCAAATCAATGGTTAAAGGTGGCTTAGAGGGGATGAAATAAATATTGTAAGAGGTTGAAGCCTATAATAACCAAGGATTTTTTCCAACTATATGTCGTACGTGTGTAGTAAAATGACGAATATAAAATTCAATAAAAATTACTCAGAAATGCATTAGCCTTTTTATCACGGTTTCCCGCAGAACCTATAGCGACCTCTTGCGGGGCCCCTAACGATCTCACGCGGAACCCCTAGCGACCTCTCACGGGACCCCTAGCGACCTCTTGCGGAACCCCTAGCGAACTTTCGCGGAACCCCTAGCGACCTCTTACGAAACCCTAGCACTTTACAGCACTTGATATTTCAATCGTTTGGGAAACACTCATCTAAACGGTAGCACAACTAAATACTTAAATCAGTAAAACACTTATAACTCAGTTGTAATTGGTCAGACTCCAGCTCAGAAGGTTTGGTGTTCGTATGTTTGTTTGCGTCTTGTAACTAAGAGAGTCACATAATGATACACCAATCCTCCACGTACAGGAGTTTCTGCCCACTAACCAGTGAATGCGGTTTTACACTGACGCCATACAGACATCGTTAAATACATACCTTATGATGATTATAATTTAAAATAATGTAAAAGGTTGAAGCCTTTATTATAATAACCAAGAATTTTTACAACAATAAGTCGTACGTGTAAATTACGAATATAAAATAAGACAAAAATTACTCAAAAATGCATTAGCCTATTTATCACAGTTTATCGCGGAACCCCTAGTGACCTCTTCCTGACCTCCAGGGGTGCAGGGAACACTTCTGGAGAAAAAGTGATTTCTGGATAGTGTCTTAACAAACGACGAAAATGCAATACGGAGATCCAAAGACGTTTTAGAAGAGCGAAAGTTGCCTTTCAGAAACTAAGCAAAGGATTCCTAAGAAACAAAACAAAAAGAAAGAATGCAGAAAATAAGACATACAGTCTCATATCTACTATGAATTCTCCTCCTGTATGACAGTGAATGCTGTCAAACAGGAGTACCGAAAAGAGTACTGAATACTCACAATGCCGAATAGTGCCTGTTTACTCACAGAATAAGAAGAGATCTGAAGCAAGAGAGACGTAGTTCTACAGAATGATACTGAGAATACCATGGACAGAATATATGAGCGACGAGAATGCAATCCAAAAGTAGACTTATACATACAACCAGAAAGAGACGGTTGAAATTTCTGGGACCCATATTGAAGAAAGAGGGCTTGGAGGATTTGACACTCACAGAACAAGAAGAGACAAGAGAGGCAGAGGGAAATAGTAAGTAGATGGTAGAGCAGAGGGATGATAAAGAGAGAAACGTTGCTTAGAAGCCGTGGAGAACCATGATCGCTGATGTGCTGAAGAACAATATGCTTTGTTGTTTGCATTGTAGAGTAGAATTGATGATGATGGTAGACATAAAAGAGAACCGAAATTCTATTCCGGAATATCGAAATAATTGAAAGATTGTATAGTGGTAGTGACTGGAGTGTTCGGAATAGCATTGGGATAGCGAAAAATGTCTTCCAAAAGCGAAGCTGAATAGGAAAAACAGAAAAATTTCGTTAGAAACAAAAGAAAGGGTACTGAACAGTTACGTAATATCAGTCCTCACAGATGAAGAACAGACTTCAAGCAACAGAAAGAAAGGAAAGATTACTGAAGTGTTACGTAAAATCAATCCTCCCATATGGCAGTGAATTCTGGACAATCTCCTCAGATGAAGAAGAGACTTGAAGCAAGAGAAACAAAGAAAAGAGTACTGAACTGTTACGTAATATCAGTCCGCCTGGATATCTGTGAATGCTTGACAATCTCCCAAGAGATGAAGACTAGACTTGAAGCAACAGTAAGAAAGGAAAGCGTACTGGACTGTTACGTAATATCAGTCCTCCTATATGCCAGTGAATGACGGACAATCTCCTCACAGATGAAGAACAGGCTTGAAGCAACAGAAACAAAAAAAGAGTACTGAAATGTTACGTAATATCAGTCCGCCTGGATATCTGTGAATGCTTGACAATCTCCCAAGAGATGAAGACTAGACTTGAAGCAACAGTAAGAAAGGAAAGCGTACTGGACTGTTACGTAATATCAGTCCTCCTATATGCCAGTGAATGCTGGACAATCTCCTCACAGATTAAGAACAGGCTTGAAGCAACAGAAACAAAAAAAAGAGTACTGGACTGTTACGTAATATCAGTCCTCCTATATGGCAGTAAATGCTGGACAATCTCCTCACAGATGAAGAAGAGACTTGAAGCAACAGAAACAAAGAAAAGAGTAGTGAACTGTTACGTAATATCAGTCCTCCTATATGGCAGTGAATGCTGGACAATCTCCTCACAGATGAAGAAGAGACTTGAAGCAACAGAAACAAAGAAAAGAGTACTGGACTGTTACGTAATATCAGTCCTCCTATATGGCAGTGAATGCTGGACAATCTCCTCACAGATGAAGAAGAGACTTGAAGCAACAGAAACAAAGAAAAGAGTACTGGACTGTTACGTAATATCAGTCCTCCTATATGGCAGTGAATGCTGGACAATCTCCTCACAGATGAAGAAGAGACTTGAAGCAACAGAAACAAAGAAAAGAGTACTGGACTGTTACGTAATATCAGTCCTCCTATATGGCAGTGAATGCTGGACAATCTCCTCACAGATGAAGAAGAGACTTGATGCAACAGAAACAAAGAAAAGAGTACTGAATTGTTACGTAATATCAGTCCTCCTATATGGCAGTGAATGCTGGACAATCTCCTCATAGATGAAGAAGAGACTTGAAGCAACAGAAACAAAGAAAAGAGTACTGGACTGTTACGTAATATCAGTCCTCCTATATGGCAGTGAATGCTGGACAATCTCCTCACAGATGAAGAAGAGACTTGAAGCCAAAAAAAAAAAACAAAACATAGAAAAGAGTACTGAGCCGTCACGAAATATCAGTCCTCATATATGGCGGTGGCTGCTTGAAAATTCCCTCATTTTTTCGAAGCACCTCGTAAACCAGATGTCGAAAACTACCAATACGTGTAGTCCTGGGTATGACGATAAATTACATCCGGTAGCAAGTCCACTTGTCGGGCGATTGGAAGTTTTGGGTAACGTGGAACCACTTCTTAATTGACCTTGTTTTCCTTGCATCCTGACCCGGGGTGATAGTTTCTGCTAAGATTTCACTACTAATTTGATTTTGTAACATTATTTGTTAAAAAAAAATAATGCAGCTAAGTAATTAAAAATTAA